TATCATGTTCAGCCTTCATTTGGGTTTCAGTAATTCCTCTCAGTTACATTGCACTTGATCAAGCCCTGCAAGGCCTCCTACACTCTCCTCGCCATCGATTTTGGATCACTTGTTGTTCCCTTAAACCCTGGGTTTGTTAACACCCACTTCCTTTACCCCACCTACCTCTCTCCCATGTCCCCCTGGAAGCGCCCTGTCCATTGTTTTCTCCTCCAGATTGCTTATCCCACCTACCTTATCTAAATAGACATGCAAAGACAATAATATGCACAAAAACAAGACACCAAACCAAATCAAACAAAACAACAACAAAAAAAGAAAAGCCTATAAATAGTTCAAGGTATGTTTGTTGAGCTTTAGGAGTGTTTTCCGGTTGGTCAAGTCTGACGAGGTGCCACGCCCTGGCCCTTCAGTCCATTTTTATTATTCCCTGGGGACTTTGTTGCTCTGTTCCCCTTGCTGTTCTGTTGCACACCCTTAGTGTTTCGCCTCAGTGTGGTGGGTCAGAACGGGTGCAATTCCCACACTGTGTCTCCAGTGTTGTCCCCTGTAGGGCTCTGCGTCAGTGAGGGACGTCATGTCTTGTAGTGGGGCTGGTCCGATGGTCCTTTCTGTGCTTTGGCTGCTGCTCAGATGTGTTCTGCACTCTCTCCTCCCCCTTCATTTGCTCCTGTGTGCTCTGATCAGACAGGTCCCTCTCCCTGAGATGTAGCGTCAGTGCTGTCCTCTGAAGTGAATTCTTCTGGGGGGAGAAGAGGCTGTCCATGTAGTTGGGATTGGGGCAGGTCCCTCAGACCTCTCTATTGGTTCCCTGCTTCATGCCAGTATGTTTTATTCGCGTCTTGGGGCACACTTGGGTCTTTTATCATGTTGTCTAATTCTGTTATTATTTATCTTCCAGCATGCTATTTGGTGTAAGGTTTCTAGTTTTCAATTCTTCCCATTGTTGTCTTGAACACTGCCCCCCCCCCCTCCCATCTGTTAAAGGTCCCTAAACATCATTCTTCTGAATTCTATTTCTGGTCATTATAGGGCCTCTGATTCAGAGTAATCCTTTGGGTTTGCCTGTTTTTCAGATGTTTGTGCTTGTTTTTCTTCCTTTTGTATGTGTATTGTTTAAGACAGCCGTTTCTGTGGTATCATGGTGCAATTGTGGGGCTGGGGAGGCTGCTGGGTTGTATGGGGGTGGTTGACTCTGTTGAGAGCCAAAGGAGAGGATTAATAGGAACCAGATAACAAACAGTGGGAAAAAAGGAGAGAGTAAAGTAAAGAAAAAGAAGAAGAGAAGAAGAAAAAGTTAAGGGCTGTAGAAATAACTAAAAGATTTATGAAAATAATGGAAAACGTATTTTAAGGATAGTACAAATTAGTAAGCATCATAAAAATGTGTTTCACGAAGAAAAGGAAAGAACAAAAAGAGACAGTGAGTGGGGAAAGAGAAAAGGATATGCAAACAGACAATCAAACAAATTATATATAGATTAATAATAAAAGAAAAAAATGAGAAAGCCTTGCTTCGTTGGGGATGCCTGGGTCCCCAGCAGTGGTGTGCGCGGGCGCGCGTATGTGCGTGCGTGCGTACGTGCGTGCGTGTCAGTGGCAGCAGGCATCCTGGGGGAGGAGCTAGTCCTGGGAGAGTGGGTGGGGAGGTGCCTCGTGCTGAGCAGGTCTCCACACCAAGTGACTTGACCCAGGTGGGAGCAGAGAAGGAGGGGCTTGGTGAAGGATGTCGGGCCTGGAAGGCTCATGGCAGGCCATTTCTTGTTGAAAGAAGCACATTACAAACTCACATTTGATTTTATATAATTGAACATGAGCACTAAGGTTTTCTAATTTAAATATTTCGTGGGTGACTTATCAAAGTCACAGTCATTTAGAAAATAAGCAGTGGTATTCTTTTTTTTTTTTTTTTCAGAGAATGTGTTATATGAAGAACTAGTACAGCTTAATGGCCATTTGTGGAACAAATATGTAATTCATGCACCATGTTTTATAAAACATTATCCCTGTGTGCTTACTAAGTGACTGATATTTTTTTTTAAAACAGGTTTTGTCTTCACGGATCCCCTCCCTGGAGCACCACCTCAATTCTTACAGAGACTTTCTAAAATGGCCATATTAGAATATGATACCGTTCGCCAAGAAATAACCAGAAAATCAAAAAAAGGCAAAAAGCACAACCTGCAAGACTGCTGACAGATACTGTGTGGCGTGATGTTTTCTAATGTTTTTCTTTCTTTTCTTTTTCTCATTTCATTATGTGTCACGTGTGATATGGTGTGCAATGATCTACATAAAAATAGGAATGCAAATAAGAAATAAATATTTTGTGTTACATACAGAATAATTTGTATTTTGTTCCTATTGTAAGGAGACATAAATAAGAATAATATTCCATGAATTTCGCACCCACCGCTCATGGTTTTTTATTCAGTCTGATAAATATTTTCAGAGTACCTGTCTCTGCAATGATCTTTGTAAGACCTGCAAAGGATTCAAAAAAGAAGAAACCTATCTTTATTGCTAGGACGAAGAGGGGTTGTGGATAAGCTCCTCTTTTTCTTTACTTGAGTTTGAAAAAAGTTGTGAGCTAAGGACTGCAGCAGGAGATGATGAAATATGCAGTCAGCTTTCCTAATAAAAATCAAGGTGTCAAACCACGATTTGCACTGGGCAGATGTGTTGCACAAGACCGATTTCAAGTGTTAAAGGGGAAAGTTGTCACTTTGTTGCGCCTGACCCAAGCCTTGGCGTTTTTAATGATCACATATGCATGTGAAGGCTGAACAAAGAATCAGGAGGACCACACAAGAATGGATGCATTTGAAGTAGGACACCTGAATATTGAAAGCAAACCATGGCAAAGAATACTGGAAGTGCCTCAGACTGTCCAGAGAATGGACAAATCTGCCTTGGAAGAAATGGGGCAATAACCAAACACCTTAAGGGAATGTGGTAGTTATATAATCGGATTATCAGTTTGAGAGGATTGTGAGTGAAGGGGTGGAGTCTAGTCTGTCAATGGGGCCATAGCCAATGAGGCCTCTGTGTGGGCATGACTTTCTCCTGAGAATTCTGGGAAATTCTGTATTTCCTCCTTGGAAGTGGGAAATACACTGTCTCTCTCCGCTCACCCTCTTGGAGAACTCTGCTGGCAAGACACATGGCGCTACACTCTCGGAGAAGCCACATGGACCTACCCTGATGCAGCCCTGGAAACTGGAGGAGCCACGTGGAGACCGCTGCCATTGCTGAGATGCTTGCTTACACTGCCACTGACTTTCCACCCGCTGACTTGTGATCTTCCTGCATTCAGCATCATTACGTGTTTCATGAGTCTGAAGAGGACTGTATAGATTGGTATCGGACATATAAGCTAATATTGGACTTATGGGCTTAGACTAGCCTGAGTTGGGATGCTTTCTTAATGTACAATTACCCTTTATATAGAACTCTCTCTTATACATATATCAGTTTCTATGGATTTGTTTCTCTAGTCTACCTGGACTAACACATGGAATGAGGTGCTGGACTTGGGGGCTCAGAGCCATCGTCTCGGGGGGAAAATAAGGTTAAATGAAAAAAAAACCTAAAAAAAAAATGTTCTACATTCTACTTTGGTGAGTAGTGATTGGAGCCTTAAAACTTTGTGAGGGAACATTTAAGATGGCAACTATTGGTCTCTCCCTGTTCAGAGCAAAGAGTAGTGAAGAAAAGAAAAAATACATGAAAACAAGTCTAAAGGAGTGATGGATCATGCACATGTCGACCTCCAGGACCCCGAGACCAGAGGCACTGGATGGTGCCTAGCTCCCTGCTCTAAAAGGGATCATAGAAGATGGTCCTGGCTAGAGTGGGAGAAAAATGTATAATAAAACTCAACATCATAAAAGAGATAAAGCTTATTGGTCTGATAGAGACTAAAGGATCCCCAAAAATGTGACCATTAGTTACCCTTTCGACCTGGAACTGAACTCACCCCCTCCAGGATTCAATTTTCATCCAAACAACAGACAGATCTAACACTTGGAAGGTACACAGTCCTTAGAATAATCAACCCCTTGAGATTAAAAAAGGGCAGCATTTACCCAAGGACAAAGTTCAGAAGGGCTAGCAAAGGAGCAATGGAAACAGGAAACAGAGGGAAGAAATGGGCTAAGTGTGTTAGGCCAGGTTGACGAGAGAAACAAATACAGTGACACTCATATGTGCAAGAAAGAGCTTTAGATCAAGGAGCCTCATACATCAGAAAAACATCCCAGCCCAGTTCAGCTCATGTCCATAAGATAACACTAGTCCATAAGCCCCTCTTCAGACTCACACGGCCACATGCAATGATGCAAAATGCAAGAAAATCACAGGCCGGTGGGTGAAAAGTCTTGTGGATCCAATGGTGGTGGAAGCATCACAGGGCTCAGGCAGGTCTCAGTGTGGCTCACCAACAAGAAGATGTAGGCAGAGGGGTGGGGGTGGGGGCAGGGGAGGGAAGGGGCAGCCTCCAGAGAGCCATTTATCTCAGTCCCACCACCAAAGGAGGTCAATGAACTGCCACCGGACTGACAGGCTAAACTCCACCCATATCTTCTTGGAGGTGCCATGTTGGCACAAAACACCTAACCATCACACGAAGTGGGGTACATAATAGGGATTGCAATCAATGAGATGAAGCAAATGTCTATATATTGTTGAATGGAAAACTGATTTGCTTTGTAAACAGTCATCCACTTAATAATAAATATTTCATTTATTTATTTATGATGTTTAACTATAGTTTATTGACTATGCCAAGGGAGTTGACTGCATGGATCATAACAAACCTTAGATAACCTTGGAAAGGTTATCTAAGGAATTCCAGAGCACCTCATTGTGCTCATGAGGAACTTGTACATGGATAAAGAGGCAATGGTACAGACATAACAAGGACACCCTACATGGTTTAAAATCAGGAACAGTGTGCATCAGGGTTGTATCCTCTCCCCATATTTGCTCAATCTGTATGCTGAGCAATTCATCAGAGAAGATGGGTTATTTTGTTGTTGTTTTCTTTTTTTACATCATTTTATTAGGGGAATAAATATTTTTTTAATAATATGTAATGGCAAACAAAATAAATAATTGACCTAAATATCTGATGATATTTCCTGTCACTAAAGAACCCAGGAAAGTCTAAGTAAAGAAAACACCAACTAGAATTAATAAAGAATGTGGTAAGCAATTAGATTTACAAAATGTGTACAGAAAATGTTTGATGAGACTGAATTATGTTCCCCTTAAATGCATATTGTGTAGTATAATCCCCATACCTTTGGTTATAATTCCATGTGGGACCAGGGTTTCTTTTTATCTTAATGAAGCAGTGTTAGTGCAGGGTGTGTCTTGAGTCAATTTACTTTGGGATCTAAAAGGAGCAGATGAAGCCGACAAGAAGATCACAGAAGCAAAGAACAAGGACCTTTCTCCAGAGTTGATGTAGAAAACAGTTTCTTACAGCCAGTGCCCTGAATTTAGATATCCAGCATCCTAAACTGTGAGAAGAATTAATTTGTTTGTTGAGATAAAATTAAAAACCATGAAAGAACAGAAAATCTTATGGAGTCCCCTATGGGGTGCTAAGGATTGAAGTCAACTGCACGGCAACTGGTTATCATTTAAATGCTTAACATCTCTTTGATTTTTCTATCTGGACTTTTCAGCATTTGAAAATAAGGGGACTGTCAACTAGAATTATGAATAACAAACTTCTGTTTGAATGGGTTTGGGTGTTGAGTTGTTTATTAGGCCACAATAAATGACCAATGTCAGCAAACCGCTCTGAGTCAAAAGAAAACTCAACTTCTGCTGCTTTAGAATAAATATTTGTGTTTCCTCGGGCCCTTCTGGCCTCTTGATGTATGGCTTTTCAAAATGCATACAGCCTGTGCCCTGATGGATGCCATGTTTAAAGAAGTCTAGAAACTGCCACCAGTATCTGATCATCCCACCAAAGCGCTAAGCTAAACACAGAAAATGGATGCATTCATCATTACAGGCTCCATTTACTTTTCCTGGAATAAAGCTGGTATCTATATACAATAGATACAGGGGAGTGAAATGGTTTTTTGTGGGCATCGAGCAGGTTTTGTTTGTACAGTATTTATATTAGTCTCAGGCACAGGGGCCCTCACTACCCTGCCCTATAGGGTTGCAATGAGTTGGCATTGACTCGGTGGCAGTGAATCTGGTTTTTAGTTAGATGTTTATGCAATTCTACAAGTCTGTTTAACCTAAGTAAGTTATTAAGAATCTGGTTTTTAGTTAGATGTTTATGCAATTCTACAAATCTGTTTAACCTAAGTAAGTGCGTGCATGAAAGAGATTTTTAGGAACCTTATCTTCCAAAACTAGATTTGGTGAAATAATGTTACCATAGTAGTACTTTTAAATTGATTATTCCTGAGGCACTTGAGAAATATAAAATCTGTGCTTATAGCGTGTTGTTTGGGTAAGAGAAATAGTGAGAAAGGAGAGAAAATTCTCTGGTTCATGAACAAGTCAGTTTCATATAATGAAAATCTATTTTAGCGTCTTAAATATACCCACAATTTCATTTACACATTCCAAGATCCAGCACATACAGTTAAAGGAGTTTCTTACACTCCCTCCCCTGCGGCTCTCATCACCACCTCAGGTCTCGTTTCTACAGCTTGGGTTCTCTCGGTGTTTTGTCCGTGCCGACTCCCTTTCTTGTCTCCTGTCCTCCTCACGCTTCCCCTCTTGGCTTCACTTGTGCCAAATAGCCCCTCGTCCTGGAGCTTTGCTCAAAGGGAATACAAAATGACCTTGGCGACTGTGGTTGGCTAGCTCAACAAAGAACTTTGCTCACATGAGTTTTGCTTTCCACTGCTATGGCAAGAGAGCCCCCTCTTCTGGGCTCAGGAAGGAGTGAAGGCGTGCTAGTTTCAATGAGTGGATAGGATGGGGTGGGTCCTATTAACTTTCTAGGAAGATGTGGAAGGGCTTTCTGTCTCTAAGGTCAATTGTCTTTGACCTTGAAGAGGTTAAAACCTGTAAAGCAGTTGCTATTGAAGAAGAAAAAAAAAAAAAGTAGAGCCCTTAGTGGAGTCTTGGGATGGGACAGTCCAGTTGACACACTTGGCCGCTAACCAAAAGGTTAGAGGTTGGGGTCCACCCTGCGGTACCTTGAAAGAATGGGCTGTTGCTCTACTTTCCAGAAATGAGTCCTTGTGAAGAGCCTGTGGAGTTGAGATCCATCTCCTCTAACTTTCATGAGGTCACCCTCAGTTGAAGGCAGCTCCACAGTCCGTGACTGGTGTCAGCTCTCTCTTATCAGAGTAGCTGCTACATAGTGTTGGATTATGTCAGCT